GGGTGGCGGTGGCGTCGGCGGATCTATGCCAGCACATCGCCTGCAACCCCGAGCGTCTCCCCGGCGATCAAGTCCTCGATCTCCTCTGCTGCCTCCCCCTCCATCATCTCCGCCGCCTCGCCCTCTGCGTCTTCTCTTTCTTCTGCTTCCCCGTCGGTGGAGATCAGCGCTACTACGTTCGATCCGCGTCTTCAAGCTCTTCTTCGTCGTCGTCGTCGTCGTCGGAGGACTCCTATGACTACGATTCGCACTCCGATTGATCGGATCCATCAGTGTACAGCAAGCTATTCATATACGTAGTTAAATGATCATGTTGAATTCTAGTGGTAGTTTCTTGATGGTTGTTTGTTGTAATTTTTTTTTTTTTAAAAGACCGTTTTTAAAATTTTATTAGTAAAGTCGACCTGTTGTGGATATTTAATTAGCAAAATCGATATTTTATGTCGATTTTGCAAAATGTAGTTTTTGAAATAATAGCTGTCTGTAAGATGCTGATTAAACTTAAAAAAGTATACGAGGCTAATTAAACTTTATTAGGGTGTAATTCAGCATCACTAAATACACCGTATTAATAGTCTTGTGTATTTTAAAGCTTCGTTTTTTTTTCAAAATTTAGATTTTGCTAATAAATTTTCACTAAGGGTCTTTTTTTTAAGAAATTCTCTCCGTTCGTTTCATTGGCAAAACTCGCAAAATCTTTGGTTCTGTAATTTATTGTAATAGTATGACCACGTCACATTTCAAGAGCAGTACGGAGAATATTTAATATTATCCATTTTTTATCTGCTTTTAAGAATCTAGAATGTGGCATAAGAATCGAGATATTCGAGAAATTAGAGCAACAGTGAATTCCTTTATCTATATTTTGAGCTTTGCTACAGGGACCCAAAATATGGGACCAATAAAGGGGACAAGTGAGATGTCCCCCTCCTATTGGATAATGAGTTGGCCATCATTAATAATGGCCAACTCATTATCCAATAGGAGGGGGACACCTCACTTGTCCCCCCTATTGGTCCCATATTTTGGGTCCTTAAAAACTTTTCCCTATATTTTCACCCATCGCTAAGATTGTGCACCATATGCCCACCTATATGTAGCAATTTTATGAGCCCTAGATATAAAAAAAATCTAACTACATAACTAAATGGATAAATGAAATAAAAAGAGATTATCAGTCTTAGCATCACCTTAGTCTTTTTTTTCGTGTCAAATTTACCTCTTTATTGTAGTGTGTTTGGCATGCATCAATCATTAACCTCTTTATTGTAGTGTGTTTGGCATGCATCAATCATTCAGAAATAATTGAAGGATCAGCTAATGGGGTGTTTTTCTGATAAAATCTAAAAGTTAAAATGAGGTTTTGTGATAATCATTTTACGTAAAGGGAGCTTTCTGATATTTTGAGGGGTTTTCAGTTTTAAGGGGGTGTCTGATACTTGCCCGTAAAGATAATATGTTGTGCTTGTAGAACTCTTGAAAGATTTAGCTGTTGACTACATTGATTTTTAGGATGATCATTTGTCCAAGAGCTAATATTGTGAAGAAAAGTTACTTTCACTTGTTAATTGATGACGACAGCCTTTAAAAAGAGTTTGTCAGTATCTTTGTTTTCTGGGGCTGTTTGTTTTGCTTCTTTTGCCAAGCTGTCAGTTTTGACAGGGAATCAGGGGCAAAAGAAACCAACCAAACAGCCCCTAAGTGGAACACAAACTTTACTCTGGTTGTATTGATAAGATCATCGTAATAACAAATTGGGTCTATTACTCATAATTGTCGTATTGTATTTAAGAATCAAATGTTGCGCCTGGAATTTTGTTTGCCAGAACATTAACTCATCAAGTGTTAAATCTGGTCTTCTTACCTCACAAGACCAGTCAGAGTTTAAGAACAGTTCTTCTACCTTCACCGCAGCTAATGGAATGATGAGAAGACAAATCACACTCAACACGTAACCTTGAAAGGTATACTCACGTAAAACTCACTGTAGTCTAATGTTACTCCTTGTTCTCTACTGTAAGAGGTGGGGGTGCGAGGGGTCTTTAGGGGGGGGGGTTTTTTTTTTTTTTTTTTTTTTGAGAGAGAGAGAGAGAGAGAGAAGCAGGTATGTCTCATTTGTTGTCATTCTGCTCCTTTCTTTGGAGTTATTTTATTTATTTTATCCGGCTCTTTAAATACATTAATGAGATTCAACTACCTTGTCAACAACGATTTGGGATTGTTGGATTTCTTTTTTCCCCAGATAACCCAGCCCGAAATTAAACCCGAGATCGTAAGAGCCATATTGGGACCTCCCAGAGATTGTTGGGTTTAAAGCTTAGGAAAGATGAAGGCATGAGAGAGTGGGCGATGTTGACCCTTCAGTCTGCAAGGCCTTCTGCTTCTTGTCATTCTTCTGGGAAGTGCAGCTCGACTGACTTTGGGTGCTCATAGTTTTTGTTAGAGCAAGTGCAGCAATCTCCTAGTAGGGAGCTCTTGTTGGAGTGCTCTCAAACATGAGGCCCACTTAGGAGCTTCATACTAGGAAAAATATTCCAACAAACTCCCAACTAGGAGCATAAATATTATTTGAAAAATCTATTCTTCTACCTCTTAACATTTTATAAATATTTTTTAAAACAACAAATCTAATAAAAAAATATTTTTTTAGTGGGCCCCCACCCCTTAGGAGCTCCCAAGTGCTCCACAAATTTGTGGAGCTCTTAGGAGCTCCATGGTGGGCCCCACCGCCAACTAGAACTTGAGAGCTTCCCTGGGAGCTTGTTGGAAGGTCTTGAGAGTTTTTTCTTGCCACATAGGACTTAGGAGCATTCTTGGGAGGCTGCTGCACTTGCTCTTACATGGATGATACTGTTTTTTTTTTTTTTTTTTAAAACCAGGTCACGAGACAAAACGGATCCGAATCATTAGTATGCTGTATTATACAGAGCACCTTATGTCCGTGTCCAAACCCCATATAATACCAGTAGAGATAAAAACGTGTGACACTAATTATTGAGGCTTAATCGTTCCAATGCCTCGGTCTGGTTTGGAGTTATCTCAAGCAATCGCACACGCTTCCAATGAGTCTCGACGGATGGAAAATGATCGATGAGGCACATCAAGGAGGGTAAACAAATCCTTTTGCATGCCTCAGGAGGACTTAAACTGAGGATATGATTTATTTGGATGTTAACCGAAGCCTCGAGAGCAAAGGCGGAACAATCCAACTAAAGCTATATAAGAAGGCATCTAAATTGAACATCATCAACAATATGGCACAATCAAGCCTACACTCCAAATATCTGTTTTCTTTGATCTGTGTATTATCGCACGCAGCACGAGCAAACCCCGTCCCAGTCTTGTAAATATTCAAATACAGTAATTCAACTACCAGTTTTTCCCCCGCTGCCTCTGTGTATCAAAAGGTATTAAAACCAGCCCGACCTGCATCGCCAATGAGAACTGGTATTAGGCCAACAAACTTGTATAGCTGAAGGTACAGCGAGCTTCTATAAATTGACATATCAGATGAAAAGTTGACGAGGGTAAAGAGGCAGAGATGCAACTGATAAATCTGAAGTTCGCTTGAAATTTTCCTAGACTAGTTTGTTGAAAATTGCACAATGTGATGAGGATAAAGCTAATTCTACGAAACCATTTGGGCTCGTCAGAAAAAAAAAACATGAATCAAATAGAAAAAACATCATCTAGCTCACAAAAGTAATGCATGCCTCCCATTCACATGACAAAATGTCTACCGAGTAGAAGCACGTGCATGCTAGATGATTTAGAATTTTATCTTGAAAGCTACTGGGTTTCGCAGGAACAAGTTTCTCAGCATATTGACTCTATTCTCCTTAAATTCTTGCTTCCAGGACCCACGAAAAGGCTAAAGAATGTCATCAACTGATTTTTCTATTTCATAAACCTAGAAAATGTTTGAAAATTAAAAAGCTGTCTCAGGAATAAAACGAATAAAAGCAATAAAAGAACATAAAACATCACCTGCATGTATACACATGGGAAACGTATTGTCATCTTTACAATCATCAGTCGTCAGGACAAAGTTTGAGTTCTGGCAGCTTGAAGCATTTCCACAATAAGAGTCTTCACATCCCTATAAAGAAAGGAACTTATGTACCATATTGAAAAAGGATACTCTGATTAAATAGTGGATATAATGAGTTAAAATTTTGATTATCCCCCAGTTGAAAATGACACAATATTTTTGGGCCGTTGTTTTAGTAATGCATGAGAAATCAAATTCATATGGTATATTATTCTCAGAGATAATGACCAGAAAAATTGTGGGGGAAAAACGATTTTTGGATGACGAGACGATACACTAGGTCTTAGGTAAGTGCCAAAAAACAAGGATAAGTCCTTTTCTGTAAATACCAAATTGATACTTATCTTTTGCTCTATATTTTAATATGCACAAGCCCATTACAACTCCTATATAACTATTAAGCCAACTCCTGATTGAAGTAGGAGGATCTGGACTCTTTCTCAAATTATAAGAAAATCTTTTCCCAGGAATCTCTTCAGAAATTCTCCCCTGACGCCAACTTTTCTCACGTACCCAACAAATGACTGATAGTTTTCTCTTCGCATCACATTCATAATCTAAACTGAAAACCTATATAGAAATTTCCAGCGAAACTACACTATAACGTGTATTGTTTATTATCACACAGAATATTGGTCTCGTGTTCTAAAACAATAGTATGATGCATTATTTTTGGCATTGATCTGAAGCACCAAAAAGTAAACATATTCTTATTAGCATACAAATTTTTGTTTGATATGTAATCACCAACATTGTGATACTTGCCATATTACTATTTTCTGAAGGTGGAATGGTCATAGTGTTATTCTCATTTCAGACTGTAAAAAGAATCTACATGTGAAATAGCTATAGAGAGCGATTTGTTTGACTTATCATTGAAACTAGGAATTGTTTTTTTATAATCAGTTACATTAGGTAAGAATTTTTATGTTGAACGCCTACATAGCCATTTTCATAAAATTGAAGGTGATTTTAATGTTTGGACTAAAAAAAAGGACTATTCTGTCACTATCTCTTTAAAAAAATGCAACATGTAAATTAAGTTAAAAACTAAAAGAAGTTAAAAACTACTATCACTTTAAACATGGAAATTAATCGGAAAATGACACTGAAAGATATTCTTCTCGATGTGGAGCAGCAATACAAGAAAGAAGGAACTGTAAAGATAAAAAAATCTTCCTTGATCATGTTAAAGTGATTATAATGTGCTTACTTTCTATCCTCTGCACGTCTAGGGAACGGAATCCGAAGCTTCATAGTACTACCTTTATAACCAGCCTGAGTACAAGAAAAGCACATGAACCATATGAAGATCATAGAAAGGCCCAAGTGAATAAGAAAGCAACATTCATGAGGTAATGTTAATAATAAAGGCGAAATACAGGTTCATGAAGAAATAAGTCGTAAAATAAGAGGTATCAAATAGGGAGCAAAAATGATAAGCATAGAAGACAATTGAGTGGAAAATTTATGATAAATGGTTCCTTAATTCTTTTGGGCACATCTACTTTTCTTGTGCAAATTACGTAAAGCATTGGATGACATTAGACTCCAAGCAGGAAAAGAGACGCTACAGTTGGTTTTGCTCAGTAAGAGCAAGGGGGTTGATGTTTAAAATTGTTACTGATAAGTGTATTAGTCCATTTGTATGGATCAACTTCCTTGGCTAGGGAATGTAGTCCAAACTCCAAACCGATCTACACTAGTAAACATATGAAGTTTTTACCAAAAAAAAAAGTCATGAGCTTAAAGCTAGGAAGTAGTTGTGGAACATGTGTGCATTTACATGTTTAGTCAGGTAGCATAATTGTTCATATAACTTTAATATGCATAACTATCTATTTGCGCTCTTATCGCGCAATTCAACACATTTCCTTCGTGCCATGTAATAGCCTCATTATAGTATCTTTGTCTCTCTTCTCACTGGTGGTTTTTTCTCTACTCCTGTCATCATATTTCATCGCACCAATCTATCTCATGTTGTTCTTCAAGCCATGCATGACTTTCACTCGCATGCTACTTAAACCAACCATTACTTCTACGATGCTCCAATTATGCCTACCATGAACTACATAGCAATTAGATCTTCACGTGTATTATAGTAGATGGGCATAAATGTCAAAGAATCTAGCAGTCATACATACTAATGTAGATGGCAATAGTATAAAAGAGTCAGTCAGTACTTCCCCTCTTAACAATTAAAATTTGAAATTGTGTTCCAATTTGAATGGAAAAACTGTCAACTGTTAGAACATCCACTAATTAATTTTTTATCACTCTCTCTTGGATTCCAAACTACCATCCTGTAAATGGATTGGCAGGAAGTATAAAGTACACATATCATACCAACATGAATATGATGATACATAAGAAGTTTCAGCATGCAAAACGAGACATATGTACTCTTATGGGGTACCAGCAGCCGGAACAATTTACAAGCAAAAATCACACAAAAAGAAAAATAATATCACCTTCACGTTGAAACCAAGACTATCCAAGTCCAACATATAAGCATAATCCACCTGGTAATGTTTTGCCACTCATCAGTTAGGAAGCCATCAATAGAAAAAGAGTCACTTTAAGTGGATAGAAAAAGAGTCACTTTAAGTGGAGAGAACAGCTAAAATAGAAGCTCCTATGCATGAAGATGTTACCACATTCTATGGTTAACTTTATATCAATGTGTAAATTCCATGGATTTGCAGTTGGGCACATTTAAAAGAACAACTGCAATATCTGCAACAAGTTAACCAGTACTTCGGCAATACTTCTGCAAAGGGTATTCTGCAGATAAGTCCTAGGACTAGTAGACAAATTAAGAGATAACTAAAATTACCATCACTGAGGTAGAATGCTGCACGATTGCCTTCGTATCTTCTGCGTGATCCTTGTTCATGTGGGACTACAAAATTTCATCAATTAAAAAAAAACGAATATGTAAAAAGAAAGAGCACTGAAAAAAAAATAGCAGACATTCTCATACAGTGACTGGAAGTGAAAACTGAGATATCGGATCAACTTTCGCAGCTTTATATTCTTCAGCATCGAATTCTGGTGATAATAAATAATGACCAAGAATCAGAGAATATGCATTCCAATGGCCATGAGAAAGAACAAACCGACATATTTTAAACTGGCATGCACCATGGAAGTAATAGAATAGTTCACACACACACACACACACACAAACACAAAAAGTTCAAAAATATACAAACCAGAACAAACTATTAGATGCAAGCTGTGAGGACAATATGCACCAATGGGCTCCGATGAACGAGTTAGTACACTAATAGTTGCAAGTAAGCTACATACCTCCTGAACCCAACAAAGCTGTAGCAACTCCTGATACATATCGTACATATTTTGGCATGACACGGAGGAAACGAAAGTCACCAAAGTCAACCTAGATTGTACATTTATTTTCTCCGGTCAATATAAAGCAAAGAAAAATGCAGAAAACAGAATGGTCAAATAAATTGAGTGGGAGATTGAAAAATGTTACCCAAAAAGCATGAGGATGCCTTTTCAAGTATGCAGTACGTATGCCCTCTCTGTCACTATCGAAAACCTGGCATATTGAGATCAAGCGTCCCAGGTACTAAGTGTCAGATAATGGGCAAAAGAATTCAGTTGTACACAGTTAGTTTAGTAAATAAAATGAATAGAAAAGAAAATGCCAATATAAGACTTTTACTGCAAAAGAGAGAGGTCAACTAGAACTAAGCATTATAATAAGCCAAAGACTATCCGTTGCTCGTTTGTGAGAGAAAGCATGACAAATGACATCAAGATGTCTCTAAAATTAGGCATGTGATTGATCTCAGAATCAAATAGTGAATAAATTAAAAAATGCATATTCAAGATGCTCAATAAATACTACGCAAATGAATTTCAACCATGATGCCACAATAATACTCAAAGTAGCTCTTGCTGTCAGAGGTAGCATTACCGACATCAGCAAGACTACTTGCATAAGCAATGAGTAGCTGGTTTTTGTATGAGTTATCACTTAAGCTCAACATACATCCTCCATTAAGATGCGAAGAAGCCCAAATTACTTAGATATAGTCACAAACTAATATATAAGTCTAGTAAGAATAATACGCAGACGCAGTAGAAACAGATACCCAGAACTTCTGTGTATACGAAACCAGGAGATAGATGACATTTACATACAGAAATAGCATCTCCATATAACGTGATCGCTGTATCAGTTCTGTCTTCGGGATCCTTCGCAACAAGCAAAGAGCATCTCGGATTACCCAGCAGGTTCTGCTCAAGACAAAAAAAACTCCCAATTAGCTAATAATGCGAATTGTTCCAAAGAGAACGTGTAAAAAGAAGAAAGAAGTGAGACTGAACTATATTTCAAATAACATTTGAACTCTTCAACAAGATTAAAACATAAAGAAGGCCTCAGCTGTATAAGGGTGTTAAATGAAGCGACTCGTTAAGCATACCTTTGAATGAACTGCTAAACTACTAACTGCTAATATTGGAGAACCGTCACGATCACATGCAAAATCAACCATCGATCCAGATGGATAGCCTTCATGCTCCTGTCACCAATAATTAAGCCAAATATCTAATTGATCATGACATCTTGGGGAGAAAAAAAAAATTGCACGCGGAGTGCTAAAAACAGAGACAAAACTTCCTTGTGTTATTTTGGGTTTTTTTTTTTTATACCGAGCTCTAGCGAAAGATGGTATTCATATCATAACACACGGAAACTACAATTGCAACATTATCAAATCAAAGCTAGAATCTCAAGAACTCACCACCACCGCCTTTAAAAAAAACAGGCCATAATTTGCTACGACCGCATCCAAAACTTTTTAGTAGAAAAAAAGCACCAGCAACGCGAGTACCTGGGAAAACGTGGAGAGCACCCCTCGAGCACTCCGATCAAGCAAAGTTCGGACTTCATCAACCGGTGGAAGTCGAGCACCCACCCCCCAAAAAAAAAAAAAAAAAAAAAAAAAAAAAAAAAAAAAAAAACAGATTCACGTCAACAATTCATCCTGAATCAAGCGAAATCATCGTCGATTTCCCCCAAGTTCGCACCTGATGGGCCCGAACCAGCTCGAAAGCGTCCGATTCGCCCTTAACCCCGCCCGCAGCGGCCTGCAAACCCTAGATCGGTCTCAGCGAGGCTGAGCGAAACTGGAATTGGATGATCGAGAGGCCAAGCCCCAGGGTTTTACCTGAGAGGAGGGGGAGGCCATGGCGGGAGGAGCGGAGGAGGAGAAGCTTCTAGACGGCCTGAGGCTGAGATGAGAGACGAGGGGAGTTCTGGGGTTTTTAGGGAACAAAGAACCATTGTTGACCGATCGGGGTATCGATGGATTAATCGAGGAGGAGGAGGAGAGAACGGGTGCGACCGCCGACTTCATCTCTCCCCGCTTCCAGCTCGTTTTTTTTCCTAGCCTTTTTTTTTTTACCGTTTATATTTTTCTCCTCTACAAAGGACAAACTTTTATCAACTTCATTGTTTTTTGGGAAAAATGCTTCCGGCTCTCAAAAGCAGAAAACGTGCTTCTCATCCTCAAGATTTGGTTAATGGGTATTTTATCCCTAAAAATAAAGATTTTATTCTTTGAGCCCCAAAAACAAAAAAAAAAAACCCAAGAGATTAAAATATGTGAAGACCATAATACCCTTCTCTCTCTCTCTTTCTTTTTTATTGAAATATGATGAGGATTATTTTATTATTTTCGTTTTCTCTCTCTCTTTATCATAATGTACTAAGATGATAGTTAAAATGATTGATGATGATTATTTTATTATTTTTGAAGAGGATTATTATTTTATTATTTTTGTTTTTTATTCTTTTTGTATTTTTAGAATATTCGTTGTTAAGGATAATGGTTGGTTGTAAAGGTTATGCATTGTTTGTTAAGGTTACGGGTTGATTGTTAAGGTTACGGGTTTGTTGTTAAGATTATGGGTTTGTTGTGTAGGTTACGGATTTATTGTTAAAGTTACGGGTTTAATTGTTAAGGTTACGGGTTTAATTGTTAAGGTTACGTGTTTAATTGTCAAGGTTACGGGTTTAATTGTTACGGTTACGGTTTAATTATTAAGGTTACGGGTTTAATTGTTAAGGTTACGGGTTTAATTGTTACGGTTACGTTTTTAATTGTTAAGGTTACGGTTTTAAATGTTAAGGTTACGGTTTAATTGTTAAGGTTATGGTTTAATTGTTAAGGTTATGGGTTTAATTGTTAAGGTTACGGGTTTAATTGTTAATATTACCAGTTTAATTGTTAATGTTACGGTTTAATTATTAAGGTTACGGGTTTAATTGTTAAGGTTACGAGAGAGAGAGAGAAGGGATCCATAATCTTAACAATTGACCCGTAACCTTAACAATTAAACTCGTAACCTTAACAATTAAACCCGTAACCTTAACAATTAACACGTAACATTAACAATTAAACACGTAACATTAACAATTAAACCCGTAACCGTAACAATTAAACACGTAACCGTAATAATTAAACCCGTAACCTTAACAATTAAACACGTAACCTTAACAATTAAACCCGTAACCTTAACATGATCCGTAACATACACAACAAACCCGTAACCTTAACAACCAACCCGTAACCTTAACAATCAATGCATAATCTTTACAACCAACCATTATCCTTAACAACGAATATTCTAAAAACATGAAAAGAATAAAAAAGAAAATAATAAAATAATAATCCTCTTCAATCATTTCAATATCATCAAAGTAACATCATGATAGAGATAGAGAGAGAGAGGATTCATAACATTAACAATTGACCCGTAACATTAACAATTAACTCGTAACATTAACAATTAACTCGTAACCTTAACAATTAACCCGTAACTTTAACAATCTCCCAATACAAACAACAAAAATAATAAAAAAACAAAAATAATAAAATAATCATCATCAATCATTTTAACTATCATCTTAGTACATTATGATAAAGAGAGAGAGAAAACGAAAATAATAAAATAATCCTCATCATATTTCAATAAAAAAGAAAGAGAGAGAGAGAAGGGTATTATGGTCTTCACATATTTTAATCTCTTGGGTTTTGTGTTTTGGGGGCTCAGAGAACAGAATCTTTATTTTTGGGGGTAAAACACCCATTGACCAAGTCTTGGGGGTGGGAAGCACGTTTCCTTAGCTTTTGGGGGCTCGAAGCATTTTTCCCTTGTTTTTTTAAAGAGTGAGGGTATTATTTTAAAATAGTATAAATGCTACTCTTTAGTCCTTGTTTATTTTTTAATTTGGTCCGAACAATTTTAAGGAGGAACTACCTAATATTCAAGAAGGGGACTAAACTACACCTACCCCACCCCCTCACATTTACGGTCCAAGTATTAATCATCCGGGGGTATTAGAATTTTTTTACAAAATAGCCCATTAACTCAGTTTTTTCCTTTCCGCCAATTTTTTTCACCATCTTTTTTTCCCCCGAAATGTTTTAATTCGCGGTTATTTTTCCCCGAAATTTTTTTATTGTTTTGACCTGATGGAAATTATTCGGCATATTTTAAAATTCATAATTTCCGTGGGCATCTATAACTTTGGTTGTTTTCATCCATTTATCCGGTGACAATTAGTTTTTTTTTTTTTTTGCTTCAAAACATGCCATGATTCATGGACGATAACCCATAAATGTTTTTCATGTTTTTGAGCTAATGGAAATTATTTGGCGTACTTATAATTTGTAATTTTCATAAGCCCATATTTTTTTTCAATTTTCGTCCACCTGGACAGAACGGCAAGCGAATTTTTTTCTTGGAAACTGGCAATTTTCATTGACCATAAATAATAATTTTCATCCTTTTTTATTTGTTTCAACCAAATGAAAAATGTTCGGTGTACTTCAAAGTTTACAATTTTCATGGGCTATAATAAATAATTTTTTTTAATTTTTATTTGTTTAGAACTAAGAATAGTCAAAAAAATTTCTCTTAAAAACTTGTGCTTTTATAGAGTATAATCCACAATTTCTATCCATTTTTTCTTGTTTCGACCTAATGAGCATTATTTGGCATCCTTTGAAATTTGCAATTACAATTTTGTTATTTTCATCCATTTGGACCCAGTGATAATTATATATTTTTTGGTTCAAAACTAGTGATTTTTATGAACTATATAACCCATAATTTTATTTTATTTTTTCTTGTTTCTACCTAATGGAAATTATTTAGCGTACTTCAAAATTGCATTTTCTATGGGCTGTAACCTACTGATTTTGTTAGTTTTTCATCCATTTGGATCCCACGGCAATTATATTCTTTTGCTTCAAAACTCGCAAATTTCGTGGATTATAATCCATCTTTATGTCTGTTTTCATTTGTTTCCACCTAATAGAAATTATTTGGTTGCTTAAAATTCCCAACTTTCATGGGCCCATGATTTTTTTTTCAATTATTGCTAATTTTAAGCTAATGTCAATTAAAATTATTCTTCAAAACTCACAAATTTCATGGTCTATAAACCATGATTGTTGTCCATTTTCATTTATTTTAACCTAATGAAACTTATTTGTTGTATACTAAAATCACCATTTTCATTATTGATAAGCCAAGATTTTTTCAATTTTCATCCATTTAGACCTAATGGCAATTAAGTTTTCTCTTTAAAATACACGATTTTCATAGGCTATAACCCAAGAATTATGTCCACTATCAATTGTTTCAACTTCATGGTAATTATTTGGTGAACTTAAATTTGCAATATTCATGAGCTATAACCTAGGATTTTTTTTAAATTTTCATCCATCTTTACTACATATCAATTAAAATTATTTTCTTCAAAACTCACAATTTTGATGGACTATAAAACATGGTTTTTATCCCCTTTCATTTGTTTCCACTTAATGGAAATTATTTGAATCACCTCAAAATTCATAATTGTCATGGACTATAACTCACGAATTTTGTTATTTTCCAATGACAATTAAGATTTTGTGCTTCATAACTCGCAATTTTATTGAATATAACTCATGATTTTTTTATCTATTTTTGTTTTTTTCTAATAAAAATTATTTGGTATACTTAAAAATTCTGAATTTCCATAGGCGATTAGCAATGATTTTTTATTTTTTTTACATCTTGACACAAATGGCAATTTAATGTTTTTTTTCAAAAAATTATAATTTTCATGGACTGTTAAATTATAAATTTTTTTTATTTTATGTTTATTTGAACCCAAAGGAATTAACTTTTTTTCATATTTTTTATGCTTTTCAAAACTCACAATTTTCATTTGACTGTAACCTGTAAATTCTTTCCATTTTTATTGTTTGGATTAAACGAAAATTATTTGGCAAACGTAAAATTTACAATTTTGTTAGGCTATAACTTACCTTTGTTTTTCAATTTTCATCCATCTTTACTCCATGGAAACTCAATTTCTTTTCTTCAAACAATTTTCATGGACTATAAACCTTAATTTTTTTCGTTTTCATTAGTTTCTACCTAATGGAAATTATTTGGAGTACTTCAAAATTAATAATTTTCATTGAGTATAACTCATGATTATTGCTCTTTTTTCATTTTAACCCAGTGTCAATTAAGTTTTTCCTTCAAAACTCACAATTTTCAATGAATATAACATTTTATTTCATTATTTTTTCTTATAAAAATATTTGTCATACTTAAAAATTCTAAACTATCATAGGTGATTACCCATGATTATTTTTAAAGTTTTGTCAATCTCAACAAAATGACAAATAAATGTTTTATTTACTTTCAATTTTTTTACCGTTTTTCAGTCATTTCATCCAATTGTTAAATATTTTTGGGAGTCTAAATTAAAGATTTCATTATTTATAACCTAAGGCTGTTGGCCATTTTTAGTCATTTCAACCCATCAGTAAATAATTTTGTGGAGACCAAAATTTATAATTTCATGAGCTATAGCTCATGATTTTTGGTCATTTTTAGTTATTTCAACCCC